TTGACTAATTTGTGATGACAGTAGCACTGAAGCAGATCGGGAAAATGCAACATTCAGCATTGCTAACGCTCAGTAACCGACCGACGTTCAGTTTCACTTATCGACATTAGCTTTGTTACTACTCCTAGGTAAACTACCACTAATCTGATCATTTCAGTAATACACATAATCTGAATATTTTTTTCAATCACAATTCATCAATAACAACTAAAAACTAATTTCATCCTACTTTGAAACCTACAAAACTATTTACAAAATTGATGACAACAAAAATTGTTTCTTACGTGTTCTAATATTCATCAAAATGGTAATAAAACCTTTCCTTAAAAACAACCATTAAAAAGATCAGAAAAAAACAAAAAAGTGAATTGAATTTATGTGCGGCCTTTATTAACTTGAATCAACCTCTTCATGCAATTTTTTGTTCAATGTATTCAATACAGCAACAACAAATCACATTCTATTGAATGATGTTTTTTGTGAAGTAGAAGTCAGTCAGCTTAAAGTATAGTGTATGCAAAGACTAGAACTATTAAACTTTCCAAAGTGAATTGACAGAAGTTGGAAATTGTGAACCACTGGAAATCGACCCAGTGGCTGAATGGTTAACGCGTTCACTGTGAAACCTGAAGGTCCTGAGTTCAATGCCCGGCCGGGTCGTGGGTGCGTACTGCTCAGGAGTCTCATACTAGTTGGACGAAACAGCTGTCCAGTGCTGCCAGATTTCTAATGGTTCCCCAACTGATATCAGTCCATGATGAATACTACTTCTAAATTAAAAAAATCCCCATTCATCTCAGAAAAAAAAATGCATGTCATTATATTTGTCAGTGACAGCGATATAAGCATAAATTTGACTTTATAGTAATGAAGCGAAATGGTTTGTGAAGATGAAAATGTGAAAAAATTAACTGCTGTATCTTCCTTTTGTTCTATAAAGAGACTCTCTCAGAAGGTCAATAATAAAATGGTCAAGAAAATAAGATAGAAGATGCTGTTTAGCATGTAATTCTTCATCAAGTCATCTTTGCCTAAATACTTAATGTAGATTCAGAGAACACACTCAGTTTATTAGAAACACATTGTTTGAACAGTGCGATGGGAAAGTCAGTCAACGAATAACACATATGATAGTCTCCTCAAGTTTTCAGGTACCAGTTGCTGTGGTATTTCTGCAAATATGAAATATGCTTAAAAGACTTCAGACAATGCTAAGCATTGTGGAGTTGATATTTGGTTTCTCATCCCGTCTTCCAGTGTTCTATGGTCTTACCTGTGATCTGAGCAACTTAGAGGATAAAAAGCAGAAAGGAGGTACCAGTAAGCATAAAATCAAGACACTTGAAGCCTTCTTGTCCTAATATCCAAGATAGTGCATATTAGAAAGTAGTTTTCGCTAAGTAATGCCATTAGATGAAGAACAATTCAAAAGTAGCAAACTCTTGACAACTGTTTCGTCTAAGTATGAGGAACCTTAGCAATGTGGATAGTCTATATCAGTTGAAGATGAACCAGGTGATCACAGTGTTGCTTCAACATTTACATTCAGTGTTCATTTATTATTTACATGCAGCTACTCTTTTTCTTCGATAATCGATTGATTGTAATGTTTGGTTTCATTGGTTTATCTGCTTCCGTTGATATAACCTTTAGGATTTTAATTTCTCCGAGTGATTCACTTTCCAAGGAACAGTATGCATAACACATTAAGTGCTGTCAAGTGAAATGATTACATCTGGTTGTAATCATAGAAATTTGTCAGCGAGTCGTTTATTCGAAGTAAAAATACTTGAATCCAGTATACTACTTATTCATTCCTTAAAGTAAAACATTGATATATCGTACCAAATTGAACATAAAAATGAATGATATGAGTTACAGTAGTCAGGATGAGGAAGATTCAGAAGGCCCAGTGAACTTTTAGGAGAATTTTAAATAAAATATTGAATTATCATAACATTTTTACGATTATTAGTGGTTTATTCACAATTTAGAATTATAAATCTATTTTATCTGGTGTAGAAAAATAAGTGTAGCCTGCCTTAATAAGGTCCTGTAGTGAGTAAAATGAACTTTAAGTAAAATTTGCAAAAATCATGGTTACTATTGAAAATAAGTTGAGGTTTAATTTTTATAAAGGTAATAAATTCCCCCCATAAGTCTACCTGATACTCAACCAACAACAACAATAAGCTCTAATCACCATCAACGGAAGAAAGTTCAAGGAAGTAACCTCTTTCACCCATTTAGGCAGCATAGGCATAGACGAGGATGTCAAAGCCAGTCAGGATTGGAAGGAGAGCAAGACAGGCGTTCATGAACATGAAACGAGTGTGGAGATCTTCTGAACTCAGCATAAAGTGTGAACAAGATCCGGATTTTCAACACTAATGCCAGTCAAGTCAGTGCTTCCATGTGATGTTTGAGAGACTTGGTGCGTTAAGAAAGGCATTTCCAACAAGCTACATACATTCATCAACAACTGCCTACACTGGCTCGTTACTGAAGCTCAGATGAGAAGGCGAGAAATAATAAGCAACAAGGAACTCTGGCAATGAACTAACCAAGAACCTATCACTCAACAAATATGCACTAGAAGGAAGTGGAGATGGTTTGGATTGAGCATACATTGAGAAGACCATTCAGGGACATCACGTGCCAGGCCATGCACTCGAGTGGAATCCAGATGGGAAGCGATGAGTTGGGCGTCCCAGCTGAGGCTGACATGGATGAGTTGGTGTGAATGAAATGTGGATGAAATGAGAGGTTGTGGGCAGTGTTGGAGCCAGGTTGAAAAGTTTGCAGAGAAGAGAGTGGAATGGAGACGTGCTACTGAATCCCTATGTTCCACTAGGAACCCAAGGGACAAATAATAATAATAATAATGATAATAGTAATAATGTCTACCTCTTTTATCTTTTTTGTGGCCTGTCTTGTGATGATGAAAAACTCCTTAGCAAAATGTCTCAAAATCCATCTCAGTGTCGCAGATATGTTTATTGCATACCACGCTCACTATTTTCTTCCCTTTTGACTCATATAATTCTATTCACTACAGCATTATTTTGTTCTGCACACCTATTACTTTGTATTCTGTCATATAAAGCTTTGCTTCTTTAAATAATCCGTTAGTATGTCAGGCATCTACATGGTATTTTCACTGATTGCCTTTCTTGTCTCTCGTTCTCTATCTCTATCTAACGACATTTAACGATCTCTGAGACGATAATTTTCTTTCTTTTTTTACCATCCCTTTTGTTTATTCTTATCATTTGTGTTTAGTTTCATCATTATACCATTAGGTCAAGTCCGGTGTTGTTCATCTCTATCTCTCTGTCTGCCTGTTGTCATTAGGTGAGCTTCAATGATCATTTAGGATTTAGTTGCTTATGCGCTGACTGCATAAAATTTGTGTTGTATAAACAGAGTTTCTGGTAGAAAGTTGTTAAACCCTTTGGTCACATAGTTTATCAACTACGCCAATAAGTTTTCATATTTTTGTCATCTATCCGTTTGTTTTTGCTTCTACCTATAAGCTTCATTTACTGTGATGACTTGATGATACATACTACTACAGTATGTTCTACTTATAAGAGCATAACAGTAATAGGTAGCGAGATATTTCTAGAAAAAGCAATTAAGGTTAAAATTCTATAAGCAGAGATATTGGAGGAAGCAATTACAGATATCAGAAGGCAGAACCTGAAGGACTACTCATCCCAAAAATCGAATCCTGATGCTAACTACATGGACTATCCAGGATGCAAATTCTTTGTACTTTTCCAGTACCCTGGTGAAATTTTCTAATCATTTTTTATTACACTGCTACCTAGATATTTATTCTTAAAGTTGGCTGTATAGACTCTGAAGTTGAGGAGCTTAGGTTAGAAGTATATTTACCAAACTATGAAACAAGCGATGTCATCAATTTAATTGATGACGTTTCTCCGCCTCAAGAATAATTGAAACAGAATACTGCATCTTTTAGTGTATTTAAGCCTTATTTCAATGTCTTCATCTATTTTCAGACTGTGCTAAATATCCGTATTCGTTACTACAGAAAACAAATACATAACACTTTAGGATACGTAGAGAAATATCGTGACTGCAGATAACCACACGAAGTGTGGCTTTCGAGACCCAGTGGTCAAGTCAATAACGCCCAGGCATTTGAAGCAGTTGGTTCTAGGTTCGAGTCTCACTGTGAACGGCACTGATCGCTTAAGGGTGCAGGTAAATCCAACTGACGAGTCCCAAACAGAAGGAAATACGCGTTCTAGAGTCTACTGTTAGCTAGTATACATCAAGAATGTCAGACAAAGTTTAGTTTGAAAGAAAACCAACTGATCAAGTTATCCCTATTGCATGATAAAATGTCATTAAATGCAACCGGATTTTTGTCTTTTCACTGAGAAAAACCAACACCGACACCAATTACGTAGTTTGTGTAGAAGGAGATTGTTAGCTTGGCTTATACAGTCATAAAAATCAGTGTAATAAATACTTCAAACTTTTCAATAGATCTAAAAAGTCTTGGATACATTTTAAATCGTGCAGAAACTATTTCAGTAGGACATCTGTGACTCTAAAGGTTTTTAGTGCGTTTTATTATCCATAAAAACATCGGATAACTTTATCGTGTAGTACTGTTTAGTATCAGCATGCGCAAAATCTAGATTCAAATATTTCTACTCATTTTCCTAGACCCTTTCACATTGAATATAATACACTACAATGTGGAGCCAATTGGCTTTGTAGTCACACTTCTTATGTTACAAATACAGTTCGATCAGTAGATAGTACTCGGTAATATAAATTTGTTAACTACTACTCTGTAAATTATTCAAAGGATTTAAAGTACATACCACATAGAATGTAAAGAGAAATTTCATTGTATATTATAAAGCTACAAATGATTTATGCTTTACCTACCTCATAGTCATAAAATCTAGATGGTGCATAAAGCGAAGGAATAAACGATGTAGACGTTGGTTGAAGTGTCAAATCAATTTTTTATTAATATTTTTCATAGGCTCATTTCGGTCTCCCGTATAACTTTCATCAATATCATTACTGATATCACCTTCATAGTTCTGGCTGATTGTTATTTTACTGCTATCCAAGTCGACTGTATGACAGAGAGCTGTAATTGTTAAAAAATCACGTAAATTTTGATTCATACCCGGTATTTTAGGATGTGTAATATTGTAATTAACTTTTGTTTTATTTCTTTTAGGTATCATTGTATCATGTTTGTGATTTTTATTTTCAAGACTTTCATTATCATCATCTGATTCAGATGAACTACTATACACTTGTAATACTTCATCTTTATTTGTTTTAAATGCATTTCCCGCGGTTTTATTATTCATATAATAACTATCATCACATTTATACACTTGTTCATTGTCCAATATACAACAAGAACGTAGTATCATTTGATTTTGTGTTAGAGTGCCTGTTTTATCACTGAATAAAAATTCAACTTGACCTAATTCATCCGCTAATTGTGCATTATTTGCTCGACTACGTATATCATCATATGAATTATACATTTCAATATCATTTGATATATTGAAAGCAAGTAATAATTGTTGAAATTCAATTGTCACTATAATTGATATTGGAATTAAATAATTTATAATGAAAAGAAAACGAAAAATAGTTCGAATAAACTGCCAAGCAGTTAATTCTTCAAATGTTACATACCATATATTCAAAGAATTATTTTTAATCCATATAGTAGATAGAATAGATAGAATTATAGTGAGACCAAGCATTAATACCATAAAAATAAGTAATATCATATTAGATAAACCTTCTCTTGAACTATATTTACGCTTAGCTTGTTTACTGTTCAACGATAATTTAGTATCTTTTCCAGTGTATAAAACCATACCAATTACATATTCTGTTGAAATTAATCTTGCTCCACGTAATGCTAAATTTGTAATAACCAATGGTAGATTAGTATCATTTGAATGTTTACTTGTATAACGACCTTCAAAAGTGTATAACTGTTCATTAGGTTGTTGACAATTAACTTTTAAGTATAATTGTTCTACATTATGCTCAAAACTATGATGTTTTAAATTCTTTTCAATTAACTGATTATTTATATACTTTGAATAGATTGTTTGCATTCTAGGAATTGTATAATACTTTTTTGTATTACTTTCACCATCTAAATTAGCTGTAGTAATACAAACTTGTCCAGTTGGATTACTAGACGCTAGTAGAAGTATATCACATGGAAATACTTGATTTATTTTACAGAGTATTACATCACCGACAGATAAAGATTGAGCTCGTTTAATAATCCATTGAATATGTTGTTTATTAAAATCGAAATTGAGTACTTGAATTTCAACAGAATTTAATTGTTTATCTGTTCGATGACGAAGTATATCTTCAAGACCATCTTTAATCATTGTTATCCCGACAATAATAAATAATGGTAAAATTGTCACTGAGACATCACCAGCGCTATCAACAAAAAGTATGTAATTGAAATTAATACAAATAAACATTTGCTATATTATGAAATTGTTCAAATAGATTTTTTGGTATAAAATTATACCATGTATAACGAGAAGATGTGATAGCGTTATTGCAATAATTATGTATAAAATAATCACCCTTTGTATTCATATATCCATTAGCATAAACTTCACGTGTATCCGATGAAGTAGTTTGATGATTATGATGATGATGTGTCTTCCGATGACAAGATGTGAATGTTACCATTTCAATATTCAGGTATGTTTATGCAAAATTTTGAATGATTAAAATAATGATAGCACTCTTAATAATCCGATTTATTGAATACTTGACATCAACAATAATTGTATGTTGTTGAAATTAATTTGAACACTTGAACTCAACACAAAGTCAGGAATAAAACACACGTATTCGTCTTGTACTATAGTACAATGAATTTGATAAAAAAGGATTATTGTTAATTGTTGCTGATTGATAGCAATTTCTAGTTTATAAACTTTCTAGTATATATATAATGTAAGTTTACATCTGTGTCTCTGTGTGTATGTGTGTATGTGTGTGCCTACCATTATTTACAAGTGACTTCCAACAGAATTGACTGCTCTCCTCCTCTACAACTCACTGATACAATTAGGGAGTATTTTATACACTCGTGATTAATTATATTGTATTCATAAATATAGACAACTGGATAAAGGTAGCAACAATTTTGTTGTGTGTGTGTGTGTGTGTACACGTGTGCTTCCAATCCTGTGCTAATTTATCAGTGTGGTAATTAACACCTGATTAAAAAAAAATACTCTACATATATATTATATATTATCATTATTACCTTATTTGAAATGAGAAAGTATTAGCTGATTGTTATTGAGATCGCTTTCTGTCTTGTAAGTTATTAATGTCGCAAGGAAGCAGCAGTAGTAACAACAACAGCCAAAGTTTACCCTGAATAAAGGATCAATGAACAGCCTAATTGATCACATAACAGCTGATAACCTTTTGTTTCATCATAGACTGATATCAGTTTGTGGACCGTTGAAAACCTGGGAGCACTAAACATCTGTTTCGTCCTAGAATGAGACTCCTCAGTAGTACTCATCCTCTGACATGCAGGAGATAGGACTCATAACCTTCAGGTTTCACGGTGAGTGCGTGAACCAACCAGTCACTGATTTAAAGTTAAGTGGTTCTTTCTTTGATGCGCAATATAGCGTATCTATTCACCAACGTCTTCAGTTATTATCCGTTTCACTTCCGACTGATTGGTCCAATACGTCACAGCTTCTTGAAGCATATCAATAATGATCACTATACAACACTATTGTTTGACGTTTCTGGGGATTCCATTTATCTCAAGGCAGTATTCATCAAGGACTTATGTTGTATCATAGAAATTAATTTCAGAAGCAACCTAATCAATTCAGTGGAAGCTTTAGTTATTCATGAACTAAGACTTGATCCATGTGTACAAAAGAAGTATGTACAGTGGTCATTGATTTTGTCATGGCCATAGCATTTTCACAACCCATTAGCTTCCCCCCCCCACTTTGTTAATTTAACCGTTGTAATCTTTGTATCCTTCCCTTATCACTATTATTGTTGTTATAATCACCTTCACTTAATTAGTTTTCGGTGTTATTTCACTTAATTATCTTAATCCTTTTAGAAAACATTGATTTCATCCTGTCCAACTTATCTAACCCTATTACATAATACTTAATTGATTTACTATTCTCAAGAATTTTTTCACCCCCTTCTGAGTTATATACTTTCTGTGAACCATTCCATATATTATCTGATCTATTTGTTATCGTTTGCATTTCAATTGTTATCATAATCACAAATGCCTATGTCATCATCATGTAGTGTCTAGTTTTCCTCACAGGATATAATTTCTCAAATATTATATATATACGATTGTACAGCTTGAAAATAAATTCTTGGTTGTATTGTGTTCTCTGAGGAGATGGGTTGTTTAAACGGGGAACTTTCATCGTCCTTATAGATAGCGACATCATCAGCACTAACCTCAGTATGAAGTGAGCTGTCAATATCTCTTTAACAGTGATTTAGTAGCTCACCTTGACGAAGTGGTCTGTGATTGGTTGTTTCCTTTGATTGTTGTGTCATTGACTGACTGCATCAACTTTCCTGTTGGCTGTCCCTCTGCTTGACTTCTGACCTTTCTGTCGTTTATCATCTTTCTTATTGGTTGATAGATTGGGTCTATGTCTATTCATCTATAATTGCTGACTGACTGATCTGAATGCCAAGATTCTATGCATTCTCTGATGAAATTCTTTGTGTTTCCTCTGTCCCTCCAAGAATTCTACATTGTCGAAATTGAATTCATGTCCATAGTTATCCACGCGTGTTGAAACGAGTGACGAAATGTCGTGGCGTTTAATAGCCAATTAGTGTTCATGTAGACGATGGCGAAGAGGGCAACCACTTTGTCCAATGTAGTATTGACTAAAGTTATTGCAATTGATTTTGTAAATGATATTCGCTTTGTCTTCTTTGGTTGTCGCATGCTTTGGTCTGCATAATAGTGTTTGCAGAGAATATCGGAGAATTCCTAGTAGCTTGGCATTCATATTAGTCAATCAGTAATCAATAGATGTATAGACATAGACCCAATCTATCAACCAATAAGAAAGATGATGAACGACAGAAAGGTCAGAAGTCAAGCAGAGGGACAGCCAACAGGAAAGTTGATGCAGTCAGTCAATGACACAACAATCAAAGGAAACAACCAATCACAGACCACTTCGTCAAGGTGAGCTACTAAATCACTGGTAAAGAGATATTGACAGCTCACTTCATACTGAGGTTAGTGCTGATGATGTCGCTATCTATAAGGACGATGAAAGCTTCATAGTTTAGCAACCCAAGACCATCCACCTGAGCTATAAATATTCTCCACCATTTTGAAAATAAATTCGCTGAAAAGAGTCTCTTCGCTAAATATCGTGTTCTTGATGTTACAATGGGAATTATCAAATTCTCAAGATAACTGTACTCATATCTGCTGTGATATTTAACCTTTGGCACGAATGTACCATCTTTGATTTGTGGTGAAATCTTGAAGTGATCCCGTTTATCTACTACTAAGCTTTAGTATTTTACTGCCTGTAGTGCTTAAAGTCGAGAAAGATTATGCTTCCTGGTAGTCTATGTTTTTGTTATTAACCAGGTAGTATGGTCTCGGAATAACCTGATATTTGTGAGATGTATGGATTCAATCTGTAGGATGCCCTGCTTTATCTACGCTACTTTTACTTGTTAGCAGTTGTCTGCAAGATATATGTTTGGTAATTTCAACCTATAATACTCAGTTAGGAGGTTGAAAATCTTGTCACAAAGCTATTTAGCCATGATCGACTCTGTGTAATATAAGATTGTCTGTTGCAATTCGTAGATGGACCGTTACTGATGTAATGTTCACTTTTAAGGCGGTGGTCGCAGTTAAAGGTCTTCTCAGTATAGTAATCAAGTTACCTGATGTAACAGTATGACTCACTGTGTTTGGGATCATGTGAAATTTCTACTAACAACTAAATATTACACTATATGTTTTCTTGTTTATTTTCATTGAATCAAGAAAAATAAAATTTGCAGAATAAACTGAACTTTTATTTACCTTATAGCTTCTCATCAGATACAAACAGTCAAGAATAAATGCTGCAATACTATGAAGGATATACTTGAGTGTTAGCGAAAAGTGACCATATACACAGCGAAATACAGATGCAACTGACAAAATCAGTTGAAGGATGTTAACAAAGAGAACGATGATTATTTATAAATTATTGGAAGAATGATCTTAAAGTTTTCAACAATGAAAGCCTCAAAAACCCCTCAGTAGTTTTATTATTATTATTATTAGTCCCTTGGGTTCCTAGTGGAACATAGGGCTTCAGTAGCACGCCTCCAGTGACCTCTGTTCTCTGAGATCTTTTGAACCTGGTCCCACGACAGCCCACAAGCTCTCATTTCCTCCTCGCATGACCTCCTCCATGTCACCCTCGGACGTCCAACTCGTCGCTTCCCATGGGGATTCCACTCGAGGGCCTGACGCGTGATGTCCTCAGTCGGCCTTCTCAGTGCATGGCCAATCCATCTCCACTTCTTCCTGCATATTTGTTGCGTGATAGGTTCTTGCCTAGTTGGTTCGTTCCCAGAGTTCCTTGTTGCTTATTTTTTCTGGCCATCTGATCTTCAGCAGCGAGCGTAAGCAGTTGTTGATGAATGTCTGTAGTTTATTGGAAATGCCTTTTGTGACGCGCCAAGTCTCTCAACCATACAAGAGCACTGACTTGATGTTGGTATTGAAAATCCGTGTCTTGTTCCGCATGCTGAGTGCAGAAGATCTCCACACTGGTTTTAGGCTAATGAACGCCTGTCTTGCTGTCTTTCCGATTCTGACTTTGACGTCCTCGTCCGTCCCGCCTGTAGTTGAAACAGTGCTTCCTAGATAAGTGAAGGAGGTTACTTCCTTCAAGTTTCTCCCGTTGACGGTGATTGGAGTATTGGAGTAGTATTAACACTTAATTCAAATGTTCCTTCTCATTCATAAAGACTATCCTAAAATCTTTATCATATATCACTAGAACTAGATCTTCTATCTTCTAAAAATATTCCAAGACATTTTTAAATTCATAGGAAATTATCTGAGATTGTATAGTTCACACAATCAAGTATTAGTTGACGAGATAAACAAGTTGAAATTTCAATGAAATTATGTTTTACTGTCAGTTTTGGCTGACAGAAAACGCGTTGACTTGCAATTTTTCATTGCCAATATTTGATAAATTAAATATGAGTGTTTGTGAAACTAAAGACTCCTGAAGACTGTCTACAAGCTTTCTGGAGCCTGACGATTGTGTATAAAGTTGTTCAACTTATTTCTGTATGTAAAATGTTCAAGTTGTCTATCATTATCCCAAAATTGTTCAATTCCAACATGAATATTCATTTATTTATTGATTCAGTATGAAACTTAGTGATTCGTTGAATATTCTTATCA